GGCAACCAGTACACCACCAGCAGACCGTTCGGCAGCGCTGGGGGTGGGGCCCAGAACGACAACCAGTACAACTCCGGCAGACCGTTCGGCAGCGGTGATGTTCAAAATGGCAATCAGTACACCACAAGCAGACCGTTCGGGAGCGGTGGAGTTCAAAACGGAAACCAATACAACACTGACAGACCGTTTGGCAACGGTGAAGTTCAGAATGGTAATCAGTTCACCACCAGCAGACCTTCCGGCAATGGCGAAGCCCTGAGCGGGAACCCGTTCAGCACAGGCCTCCCTTTCAGCAGCGGTCCAGCCCGACCAGGCGGCCAGCGTCCCAACCAACCCCAGGGCACCACACCGCGGCCGGTCGGCGCGGGCGGCGCGGGCGAGCGCGACCTGCTCGTCAACCCCGAGGGGTGCGGCATCCGCAGCGACGACCGCATCATCGGCGGCAACACGACGTACGTCATGGAGCTGCCCTGGATGGTGCGGCTGGGGTACACGGGTGAGTACTGTACAGCCTGGGGCGGGCCGGGGTCTTGGGGGAATCCGGTTGGGCGATATGACAACCTCTTCTCTTTCGCCCAGGGCGACGTGGCATTTCCTACCGGTGCGGAGGCTCGCTGGTCAATCACCGATACGTGCTCACCGCGGCCCACTGCGTTGCCGGCGATGCACCGTAAGTAGGGTTGAGAGTCCTGGAGAGTTTCCGGAAAATTCCTGTAAAATTTCCAAAAAGGAAAATTCAGGGAAAATTAAGGAAAATTACCACGATCCCGGAAATTTTCAGTTAATTGTTTTCGCAAATTTACGGAAATTTACAACACTAACCGTAAGCGTACGCGCACCGCTCGCGCGCCGCGCTCCCGCTCGCCCCGATGCTCAACCCCGCCTTCTCCCCAGTGTCCAGGTGCGCCTGGGCGAGCACGACGAGGACAGCGACCGCGACTGCTCCATCATAGCTGGCACGACCATCTGCGCGCCGCCCGTCGTGGATGTGCCGATCGAGCGCGTCATTCAGCACCCGCAGTACTCGAGCGACTCCAAGTCCCCGAACTACCTGAAGAACGACGTCGCGCTGCTGCGGCTGCGCACACCCGTCACGTTCACAGGTGGGTTGCCCCGACGACGGCCGCCCCTCTGCGAAGGCGACACGGCGAGGTCCCCAAGCTGTCAGCCGCCGCCACCCCGACTATCGTGCTGACTGCTGACCTTGTTTCTGCCAACAGAGGCCGTCAAGCCCATCTGCCTGCCGCAGACTGGGGGAGCGCAGGTGGCACCGGGCAAGAGAGCCGTCGTCGCCGGCTGGGGCAAGGACAGGAACCGAGGAAGCAGTGAGTACCCGGGGCTCAGCCCTTGCAGTTAGTAAACCTCTGCGGCATGACGCCGTGCTAACGCCGAACTAACGCCTCGTCTCTGTCCCGCAGCCGGCACCCGCCTGCTCATGAGCGCGAGCGTGCCGCTGTGGACCGTGCCCGACTGCGCGCGCGTGTACCAGTCGCGCGGGGTGCAGGTCGGCGCGAGCCAGCTGTGCGCCGGCGGCACCCGCGGCGTCGACTCGTGCCAGGGCGACAGCGGCGGCCCGCTCTACCGCGCCGGGCTGGTCCACGACCAGCCGCGCGCCGTGCAAGTCGGCATCGTGTCCTTCGGACTCTCCGAGTGCGCGACGGAGGGCGTGCCCGGCGTCTACACGCGCGTCGAGAGCTTCATGCCCTGGATCGTCAGCAACATGGTCTAGTCCGTCGAGCGTTGGGCCCCAATCCTCCTCATCCCACTATTTTCACTTCTATTTATGTACTACCATCACTGGTCGATGTTTTACAGTATTTCATTAGGTTTAATGACAATGGCAGCACCCGTATTACCATGCAAACAAGAAACAAGAAAAAAAGTAAACACACAATAAAAATCAGGAAAACAAATACAGGCAAGTTTTTCTGTTGTTATTTAAAGCCTTGTCGACCTTCACATTTGTACACACATTTGCATGCGCACTTTCTTTGCCCTCATAATTTGCTCTGCCATCTGAACCAAACTGCGTAGGGCCCCGTGGGTTATCGACAGGCACGGGGGTAGCTGAGCGAAGTGCGTTGAAGACATGAGATGTAACTAATAGGGCGAAACAGTAATAAATGCAAGGGTAAAATCGCCCAGTAGGTAGGCAACCCGTTCCTCTGCTACTTATTGGGCTACGACGGGCGGGGTGAGGCGAGGGGGAACGGAGGGAGGGGGGCGAAAAATGCTACAGTTTTATAATAGTTTCCGTACGCGTTTGACGTCATTGCGTGGCTGGTTATGACGACGTGCGTGCGCCCCGCGTGCGCGGCGTGAGCGCGCACATGCACGTACCAAACCAGACCAAACGTGGGAAACTAATGAAAGGGTCCCTTCATGACGTCACCACAACCCCACTGGAATGCTGCATCCCCACTCTCGGCGGCCCGGCCCGGCCCCGGCCCCCCTCCTCGCTGCGGAGCGCTCAGCGGCCGGGCCCCACATGGGACTAAGTAAGGCAGTCCTGAGCACACACCTCTCGCGAGCGGAGCCTCATCATATCATCTGTCTCGACAGCCATGCGGAACTCACTGAGCGCCGCGTTGTGGTTGGCGGCAGTGTGCGCCTGTCTAAGTGAGTGCCATGGCAGCCCTCTCGCTTGTGATTTAAACTTTTGGCGCGCTGCTTTATTGCGGGGAAAAGTATTAATTGTGTCTGGCAGAGCCGACGCTACGCTCCGTCTGACCCGCGCTATGCCGCGCACTCCATGCCCTGCCCCAACTCACGCCTCTCGCCCTGCCTCTGCCTTGCAGCGCGCGCCGAACGCACCTGCTCCTCGCACGAGTCCTGCATCGAGCTGACGCAGTGTCCGGAGCTGGCGAAGCTCCTCCCGCGCCCGGGCGGCAACCGCAAGCCCAGCGCGTCGGACCAGGAGCGGCTCCGGGCGGCGCACTGCGGGTTCCAGGGCAGCAAGGCCAAGGTAAGGCTCGGGGGCCGGCCGGCCGGCGTACGCCCCGGGAGGATGCCGCGAGTGCGCAGTACGGGCAGAACCGGTATCCAGGTGGGCGACTTGGCCGGGGCCCGGTTCCGGGGCCCGGCTGCGACGCCCGCGTCAAACGGCCACGTTTGTTTTTGTCGCTCTCTAGGTGTGCTGTGTTCTGCTGCCCACCTACAAAGAGTGCGGCCCGACCACCATCCCGGACAAGATCATCAACGGCAACCAGACCCAGGTCATGGAGTTCCCCTGGGCCGTCCGCCTGGGCTACCGCAGTGAGTGCCACCCCTCGACCTAACCTGCTCCTGCTCCCTGCTGGTGCTGTAAGGCACGTACCGAGTGTAACAGAGGAGGGGCGCCGGAAGTACTTTGCGCTGCGGTGGGAGGGAGAAAGCCAGCCGAGGAGGGAGAGCTGCGAAGCCTGTGTTCGTTACAACTAAACACCCAGTTTTTACGCTGGCAACCAATTTTTGGTGCCCTGATCCGACGTCCCCCTGTGCTGTTACACCCGGTACGCGCATGCCCTCGGGTTCCTGCCGAGGCTGCCGCGGCTTCTGCTCACTACCCCCGCGTGCTCCTGTGCAGGTCCGTACGGCGGCACCGCCTACCAGTGCGGCGGCGCGCTCATCTCCAGCCGCTACGTGATCACCGCGGCGCACTGCACCGAGAAGTCCAGCCCTCCGTAAGTAGCCAGGACCAGAGGGATCGACCACCCTGGAGTACACTTGGAGTACACGTGGAGTACGACCGGAGTACATCCGGTACATCTGGCATACCTCCGGAGTACACACGGAATACATCCGGAGTACACCCGGAGTACTGCCAGCCTGGGACACAGGAGCGCACTCGAGCCTCGAGCGCACCAGTTGTTGACCGCCCGCCACGGCGGCGCATCCTTGGCGCCTTCAGGGCCCCGCGTAGGCACGCCCGGGGGGCGCCGCGGGCGGGCGGGTCGCCTACCCCGCGCTCGTCAGGGGCTCCTCCACGCTCACTTGTTGCCGTCCTCCTGCTGCAGGGTGACGGTGCGCCTGGGCGAGCACGACGCGCGCACCGAAGTGGACTGCTCCATCCTCGGCAACACGTCGGTGTGCGCGCCGCCGGCGGTGGACGTGCGCGTCGAGGAGGTCATCTCGCACCCCGAGTACGTCAAGAGCACGCGGCGGCGCGACGGCCTGTGGAACGACATCGCGCTGCTGCGCCTCGCGCGCCCCGTCGAATTCACCAGAGGGGTGGCGCCCGTGTGCCTGCCCAACGACATGCCCCGCGGACAGGCCGAGAAGGACCAGCTGATGAGGGAGCAGAAGGGCTTCACGTTCACCGTCGTCGGCTGGGGCAGGATCGGAAAGGACGAGGACGGTGAGTCCCGCCAGCGGCTGCATTGAATACGACGTTACTTAGGGATCGCCCGGACAGTACGGCCGCCATTCGCCGTCACAAAGTCTTCCAAGTTCAGCCTCCGTAGCCTCAGTAAGCTCTCAGAGCGCCTGTTAGGTAGGCAATATCTTGTCTGCAGCGCATGCGTGTACTGCGGGATGGCCTACCCTGAGCCTCACAGGCGCCGAGCTCTCAGAAATAGCCGAAGCCGAACGAATATGAGAAAAACTGATGTACTGTCTGGACGGTCCCTTGTTTTAGGGGTGGCCCTGCCTCTCTTACTGATACTATCACATGAGGGTGTCGGGATGAGGGTGAGGTGGGCGTTCAAAACCCTCCTGTCCCCCCCCCCCATTGAACAGCCTCTGATTAGCTTAAAGTACTACTACACGGAAAAAAAAAGATTCGCTGAGCCAGCTAATATATTGACTGGTATCTGGACAAACAAGCACATAAACTTCTGTAACCACTATATTGTCTACTCTAATCAATCATTGGCTGTGCCTTCATACAACTTATCTTTGACTGGCACAGCCAATGATTGATTAGAGTAGACAATATAGTGGTTACAGAAGTTTATGTGCTTGTCTGTCCAGATACCAGTCAATATAGTAGCTGGCTCAGCGAATCTTTTTTTTCCGTGTAAGTCAAAACGAAAACTTGTAACAACCATCTGATAGTAGGGCTACTTTCACCCGCGTTTACTCCTAGAAAAATGGAAATAACTCGGATGGGATGGGGAGGGGGGGGG